AGTCACCGTCTGCAGGGATCTTGGATCCCAGGAACGTGAATTCTGTGACTGCTTCCATGACTTCCCCTCCTATTTGCCAAGGAGAGATGGGGCCGGATGCCATGATCTTACAGAGAGTGATTAAAATGTGGGATTCGCTGTCAGAGGATATAGTGATGGCCACAGGAAGAAAGAGCTTTCAAAGGGGGATCAGACAGAGAGGAGAAGTCTATCAATGGCTACTAGCCATGGCGACTGAGGGGAACCTCCACATTCAGAGGCACTACGCCTCTGAATCCTAGAGCCAGGAGGCAACATCAGGGAAGGCCGTGGCCTCTATGGTCTGTTCTTGGCCCTCTAGAGGAACTGGTTGGCCACTATGTGAGACAGGATGCTCAACTAGATGAGTCAGATCCATCAGGGCATTTCTTATGTTCCTCTCCTCCATGTTATCCTCACAACAACCCTGTGAGGTGGCTTAGGCTGAGCACACGTGAGTGGCCCAAGGTCACCCAGCGAGCTTCCCTGGCACAAGCAGGAATTCGAACCTGGCTTTCCCAGATCCTAGTCTGATACTTTAACCACTGTATCACCCTGGCTCCGTCAGATATTCTCTCTCTAAGATGCACGATGAAATTCCACCTTTCATTTCCCCTTGATGAGGGGAATCCACAGCTGTCAGTTTACGTGGACTCTTTTTACACCTGTCACACCGATATCCTTCCCGACACGGGAAAAGGACATATGTAAAAGCACGTGCAAACTCCAGAGCCTTTCAAATCAATGCGAAACCTCAAACTGATGTTCGCAGTGCAGGAACTGAGCTAAATACTCTTCAGTCCCTGTCAATAGATTAAATCACAGCAGCAAGAATTACAGGTCAGTTCATTCTAGTACTGGGCATACCAGGTAGTGTTCCCAGCTCTGGGTTGGGAAATTGTATAGGATTATTGCCCTCACGCCTGTCCAGGAATGAGGGGAAAACCTACACTTTACAATAACTTAAACAATAATCCAGAAAGGTATGCTACCCTCTCTGGATTTCAGAACAAAAGCCACCAGAACCATTTTTAACTAGAGTCCCCTTCCAGCCCAAGAGCAAGGTTCTGACTCTTAGCTGGCCTCTGGGATGTAACACATTAGCAACTCTAGCTCAGAGATGCACTTAATCTTACATAGGTAGCATGTGGCCAGCTAGGCACAGGAGTTTAGCCTTGAGATCCAGTAACAACATCAAACAAGCTAGAAACCAGGATAAGTTTATTCAGCACAGAACTTAGCAATTAGACTACAAGGATTTCAAAACAAGAAAACGTATGGCTCTTGGCCCTCACTAAACATTAAGGAGATCTACATAATTACCAGAGATTATCTATAGTCCAAGATTGTCCAGTGTTATAGTCCAGGTACCATCTTTGTGCAAGCATGCAGCCATGTGTTCAGCCTCACAAAGGAGTTCTTTGTCTCTCCCAGAGACAGCATGGCAAGACAGCATTTCAGGTGTCCATCCAAGATCTCACAAACAGGAACAGAGAGAGAGCTCTCCTCCAAGGGCAGACAATTAAAAACCCCAATCTAGTCCCAAATTAGCCCTGGCCAGGAGCCAATTGGAGTAGACATAGGAGTGTCCAATTGTTGAGTTGCCATGGGTACAACATCTGAATGGCCAGAGCTCTGAAGGCCACACCTGCAGTCATGTGACCCCCAAATTCCAGCTAGTCCATGGGCTACGTGCCTTCTGACATGCTTGGCAGAGGCCATCTGGTCTCTGTCAGCATGGAAGTGTGAAGAATGTGGGGTTATATGGCAGGGCTATTGGGGGTGGAGCCTGGGGAGAGTGTGATTTGGGGAAGGGAGGGTGTGATTTGGGGAAGGGAGGGACCCCTTCACAGGGTATAATGCCATCGAGTCCCCCCTCCGAAGCAGCCATTGTCTCCAGGGGGACTGATCTTGGTCATTTGGAGATCTATTTGTAATAGCAGGAGACAGGCCCGCAGCCAGGATTTTGTGGCTTGCACATGGGTTTGTATCTTTACACATTGCATTCCAATGTTTTCTCTGTCGTTTTTCTGTCTTTTTTTTAGATCCGGTTTGTGGCGATGTTTTTAACACATTATGCCATCCATGTGCAGATTAACACTAGCCACCCATGTGTAGATTAACAAAACACTACTGAGGCTTTCCAGAACTACTGTCCCTTTACATTTTCCACTCTTCTAAAACTTTTTTAGTCTAATTACTTCCTGCCCAGTTGCCCACTAGCCAAACCATGATACTCAAGGTTACTTGTCAGTGACCAAACAAAAGAAACCACCGGTGGGCTGACATCATGATATCACTTCTGGGGGAAACCTGGAAGTGACTCCAGTCCTCTCTAGGAATTGTCAGAAACTCTGTGATTCCAGTGATTCCTAAGAAGGCACAAATCACTTCTGGGGTTTTCTGCAGAAGTGACATCACGCTATCACCAATGGCACCCTTCATGTCCTTGCCAAGACTCACACTGGTTGCTAGGCCATTCCTGGCAACCCCAGAAAAAAGAATACATGCACAAAATCATCCAAGGCTTGTCACTGAAAGGAGCCATTGTAAATACAAGTATGGCAGCTGAGTATAAGAAAGCACCATAACCTGGGGTCATTTTGTAGAAAAAGAGCTAGGGGAACTCATTGGCATAACTCATTAGCATATGCCACACCCCCTGACATCATAAGGCCCGGCGGTGGACCTGCAAGGCCGGTGGGAGTGCGAGGAAGCCCCGCCAAGGCCCTCCCTGGCCTCAGGCAGGGAGGGGTGGGGAGAGGCAGGGAGGAAGCAACTTACCCTCCCTCTTCTCCTGCCTCCTCCTGGCTGAATGAGGGCCGGAAGCGGGGCGGCCGGAAGCAGGGGGTGGGGCTTCGTCCTGTGCCCCGCCCCCTGCACCTCACCCGGGGGAACTGCGATCCCCCACGATCCCCCCCGAAATGACCTCTGACCATAACTGTAGTACAGTATGGCAACTGCGTTTTTCACACAAGTTCACACTGCTGGATGGGAAAACACACTGCAAGGCAGAATTCCTTCTAAGTGTTAGACTTGTACCTACTCTAGATTTACAGTTTCGCAAATTTACACACGAAGTGTCTTTCAGCCATTCTCATGATATTTGCAAGCACATGTGAATACACTCAGCACAGAACGGAAAGTAGCTCATTCCAATTTGAGTGCCTAGTCTGCCTAGTGCAGTTTTTTTACAACTAAATTGCACATGGGGGGGGGGAAGTGATATAAAATGTCACTTGTGCGAATGACCTTCAAACAATGGAACCGATTTTTAAAAAAGTTTTCCTGCCCTACTGGAACAAGATTTTCAAGCAGCTTGTTTCTCTCTTCTTTAAGAACAAAGAAGGCATATTTATTTTAGTAGTAAAAGATGGGTCTCCAAGTGCATTATTCAGGGCTTTTTTCCCCTGGAGTTCCGGAACCTGTTCGACAAAATTCCTTTAAAAATGTTTAAAAGCTCATGAGTTTTCAGTATACAGACTGAAAACTTCATTTCCCTCTGGAGAGTTCCAGCACCAATTTAAATTAAAAAAAACACCCAGCCCTGGCATTATTTAAATATTAAGGCAAAGGTAAAGGTTCCCTTCCTCGAAAGCCAGTCGAATCCGACTCTAGGATTGCGGTGCTCATCTCCATTTCAAAGCCGAAGAGCCAGCGCTGTCCGAAGACGTTTCCGTGGTCATGTGGCCGGCATGACTAAACACCAAGGTGCACAGAACGCTGTTACCTTCCCACCGAAGTGGTACCTATTTATCTACTTGCAATTTCTTGCTTTCGAACTGGAACTAGAGACGGGAGCTCACCCCGTCTTGCGGCACCCGAGTCTTGAACTGCTGAACTACTGACCTTCCACAGCCTGCAGTTCAGCGTCTTAACCACTTGAGCCACCGCAGCTCCATTTAAATATTACATATTACATATTTAAATATTACATATTTAAATATTACATATTACATATTTACTCTGTAACCTAAATTCACTCGTAACGCCAACCTCCCCTCGACAGTCTCCAAAGACAAGCGATTTTGCAATCTCCACAGCAATTTACTTATTACATTTTAATCCCTTTCTTCCTCCAAGGTCCTCAAGGCCCAGCACATAGTGCCATCCACCTTCATCCTCACAACAGCCCTGTGAAGTAGGCTGGCTGGGAGAGAAGGACCGGGCCGAGGTGACCCAGTTAGGGTCTGAAAATTGGTGCCCCCCCAAAAAGCCACAACCCAACCTTCTAGCTGCTATCCCCAGAGGAGCAAGTTTGTAGGTATTCTGTGGAGAGAGACGTTGTAGGAAGGTTGCAGAATCCTAGAACCACAGAGCTAGTCCAAGCCCCTGGCTCAATGCAGGATCCTCATCTTCCGACATGCTCCAAATGAAATCATTTGTTGACTGACTTAAGTACAAAGCAAACTGCCTTGAGGGAGGCCAAACCCTGGATTAGATGGTCCATTTTGGTTCATTTCTTATATTCTCCAGAGAAAAAAAATTAGAAGAGGTGAGTGGTAGGGATGCCAGCCTCCAGGCGGGGCCTGGGGATCCCCCAGAATTACAGCTCATCTCCAAACTACAGACATCAACACTCCTGGAGAAAATGGAGGCTTTGGAGGGTGGACTCTGTGGCTTTGTGCCCCACTGAGGTCCCTGTCCCCCCCAGGTTCCATCCCCAAATCTCCAGGAGTTTCTGGCAACCTTACTCCCCCCTGCCCCCGCCAGTGGTACGGGGGAACCTGGCCAGCCTAGTGAGTGGTCTCTGTCTCTCTCTGCAGTCCGATTAATTCCTAAAGCAACCTCACCCAGCAACCTCTGGCTCCCATGGAAACCCTAAATGTTGGCATTGTAAGGAAGCCTCTAACCCCTTTTCTCCTCGATTCCTACAAATCACTCCGGGAAAGAAAAGGGGGACCAGTTGCAAACACAAAAACTTTCAGCGAGACAAGGGAGACGGAGGGGGAGGTGACGCCACTGCCGGGCAGCCGTCTTACCGCATGACAAAGTCCGCTTGATCTATCTGTCTGCCACAGCCGCTCCTCTTCAGAATCCCACCGTTTCCCACCACGGAGCACTTCTTCAATGGCAGCTGGAATGGGGTTGCCTGGCAACAGAAAACAAGGCCCATTTTTTCCCCACTGTCGAGCACATACACAGGAGCTTTGTCTGGAGACCCCGAGACGCCTCAGGAACCGGGAATTTGGGGCGAGCGCTTTCGGGTAGCGGAGGGGAGCGAGAAAGAGGACCCTCTGAGGGCGAACAGCTGAAGCATTTTATTCTTCTCTCCCCAGCTAACTCCTCAGATCAATTCACAGTGACTTTGGTTCCTTTCAGATGGGCTGTTCAACCCACTTTGACTCCTGAAGGCAAATGGGTTTTGTGTACCTTCCCACACACCTCAAGGATAAGACTCTGTCCTGCCGCAGTTAATGAAGCTTTAATCAAAAAAACGATTTTGTTCCAATGTTGGTTTTTTTTGGAGGAGTTTTATTCCTTTATTGCTTGCTCCGAATGAGAAACCAAAAGCCAAAATGTTAAAGCCAATGTGATGTTTATCAGCACCCAGCGTTGCCAACCTCCAGGTGCTAGAATGCCAAAAACAACATCCGGGACAAAAAAATAACGAAGAGTCGATAAAGATAAGTTGCAAGAGCGTTTACTGTCGTAATTCTGTAGGAAATTTTCTTCTGTTATCGCTCACACGCTACAGAATTGTCTACAGAATTACGACAGTAAACATTTTTTGCAACTTATCTTTATTGGCACTTCGTTATTTTTGTCATGGATGTTGCTTTTGGCATTCCACTTCCTCCTGAGATCTCTCATTTTTGGCGTCAACCTCCAGGTGCTGCCTGGAGATCACCCACTATTACAATTGATCCCCAGACAACAGCGATCGGTCCCCCTGGAGAAAATGGCTGCTTTGGTGGGTGGATTCGATGGCATTAGACCTCACTGAGGCCGCGCCCCTCCCCAAGCCCCGCCCTCTCCAGGCTCCACCCCAAATCTCCAGGTATTTCCCAACCCAGAGTTGGCAACCCTAACTTTAGGTGTGTGAAGCCTTTAAAAATAATCTGCTTGCCTTTGGAAGCCAAAATGGGTCAAAGGGCACATAGGAAAGGGACTTTAGGCTGACTGGATTACAGTCTTCCCCCCACTTAAGGAGAACTGATAACAGCATCTTCACCTTTCTACTGTCTCAGACATGATGGTTTTACACTCACAAGCACCTGACACCGTAGGCTTTCACTCACCCAAATGCTTGCTGGAATAAATCGTGTTGGTCTTTAAAGTGCTAGTAGACCCCACTTTGATTTTGCTGTAATAAACTAACACAGTGGCCCCTCTGGGATTTATTTCTACAGCCTCGTGCTCTTCGGTAGACAACACCCCTCAAATCTTGCCATCTCGGCATCAGAACTTTCAGTCAGTGTTGTTGAGGGCAGCGGCAAGAGGGCCACGATCAACCAGGCGCCCGATACCCTGCCTGGGTCCAGTGCCAGCAGAAAGGCCTCCTCTGTGTATAGGATTGCCTGTTGCCATCCCGCCGATGGGGGCGGGGTTTCCCCCGATTTTGGGGGGCCCAATGCACTGCTGGCCAGCTGGGAAGCCCCACCCCTGAAGAGCCCCACCCAACATGCCCAGCGCGATGATGTCGCCCAGAGGTGATGTCATCATGCTGGGCACACTGTGCGGGGACGCTCTAGCACTTGGGTAAAAAAAAAAATCTCTATGGTGACTATAGAGTTTTTTTGCCCAAATGCTAGAGCGCCCCACACAATGTGCTTGGCACACCAGAAGACCCCCCCCTGCCAGCAGCCAGGTAAGACCCAGCAACCCTATCTGTGTCGTTTTCAGTTGCCACAGAGACCACTGGAGGCTGGCTTACCTACCAACCTCAAGGTCCTCCCAGAATTACGACTGATCTCCACGTTCAGATGGGTAGCTGTGTTGTTTGGCAGTAGAAGAACTAGATCTAAGCCTGGTAGCACCTTAAATATCTACAAGATTTGTAGAGTGCCTTGGAAATCCTGTTGGTCTCTATGGTGGTGCGGGACTCGAATAGAACGGATCTCCACATTACGGAGATCAGATCCCCGAGGAAATGACCACTCCAAAGGGTGGGCTTTTTGGCATCACAACCATACCGAGCTCTCTCCCCTTCCCAAACTCTGCTTTCCCCAGGTTCGATCCCCAGATCTCCAAGAACTTCTCAAAGCTTGTGTTGGCAGTGAAATCTGAAAGCAGCCAGTTGTCTTTCCGTCGGTCTTGGTCTCCCTCTGGTCCCACCCTTCTCTCCGACTTCTGACTTCCACTGCTCAGAGTGGCAACAGAAAGCACTAGGCAAACCCTTAGCCCATCTGCATCCAGCTGAGTTTATGCAGACCTTTTATTTGGTACAGTGTTTTATTTGAAAAGAAGAAAAAGAAAAAGAATAGGAAGAAGAAGAGGAGGAAGAGGAGGAGGAGATTGGATTTATACCCTGCCCTTCACTACCCAAAGGAGTCTCAGAGTAGCTTACAAACTCCTTTCCCTTCCCCTCCCCACAACAGACACCCTGTGAGGTAGGTGGGGCTGAGAGAGAGCTCTCTCGAGAACTGCCCTTGAGAGAACAGCTCTGAGAGAAATTATGACTGACCCAAGGTCACAAGAGAAGCTGCATGTGACAGCTCTGGGAACTCCCAGATTAGAGTCCGCGCTCTTAACCACTACACCAAAATGCTTGTAGGGTCGCCAAATCTCTAGGCTGGGGAATTCCTAGATATTTTGGATGTGGGGTGTGGGGAAGGGATGTGATGTGATGCCGTAGAGTCCACCATCCAAAGCCGCCATTTTCTCCAGGGGAACTGATCTCTCTGCTGTCTGGAGATGTAATTCTGGGAGCTCGTCAGCCGCCACCTGGCAGTTGACAACCCTAACTGCTTGCATTTGACATCCACTCATCTTTTGGTACATTTTCATCTTCTCCTCCCTCCAAGTAGCTCAGGGCTTCATATGTGCTTCTCCCCCCTCTATTTCATTGTGGCAACAACTTTGCGAGGTAGGTCAGGCTAAGTGTGCATGACCAGCCGAAGCTCGACCATCCAGTTTCCATGGCAGAGTAGGGATTCGATCCTGGATCGCCCGGATCCTAGTCTGAAACTCTAACCACTACACCACCGCTGCCAATGAAAAATCTTTTTTATATATAAAAGCCTCCTGGTGGTGGCACTCTCCAGAACATTCGACACGCTCCCGAATTGGTTATCATAGAATCATAGAAGGTTAGAGTTGGACTCTGCAGGTCATCTAGTCCAACCCTCTGCACTCTGGTGTGTCAGTCACAGAGTGTCTGTCTCCACTGGCTGCGTTGCTGCCTCTGTGGGCGTGGTCCCACCCACAGAGGCGGCATCCAGCATCTCGACCTCACTCTCCTTCGAAACGATGGACGGGTCAGATGCTCCAGCAGCCGGGGGTCTCAGCCCAATCATGCCACTGCTGCGAGCATCCTCTCCCAAGCATGCATAGCTAGCCAGGCTGCACACGACCCAACGACGGATGGGCTGTCCGCTCCAGCGGGGGGGGGCTCGGCCCAATCCTGCTGCTGTCACCGCCCTCGCCCGAACGCACGTAGCTGCCCAGGTTGCACGCAACCTGACGACGAACGGGCCAGCCGCTATAGCACGGGGGGGAGGGGCTTGGCCCAATCCTGCCTCCACTGTCGTCCTCGTCCAAGCCCGGCTACAGGTCACTGGCCGGGCTGTAACCGGATGATGGATGCGCTGGCCATTCCAGCATGCAGGGAGAGCGCCTCAGGCTGAGCCCGATCCTGCTGCCGACTATCAGCAGCTGGCTGGGCTCTCACTGGATATGGGCTGGCACACCACCGGGCCTGAGGCTGCTGGAGCTCAGAAGCCACTCCCTCGCCCCCGGACTCCGGGGGGTCATGAGGGGAGAGAGAGCGGGAGACCGGGGGCACCTCTGTCGTGCCGTGCTAGGGCCCGTTGTCTTCCTCCACAACAGGCTTTGCTCCTAGTCATTATATAAATATCATAGAATCATAGAGTTGGAAGGGACCTCCAGGGTCATCATATAGGAATGACAGCAGGAGGATTGCGGCGGTCACTGTTTTCCTGCGCCCGTGACAACAATCAGCCTTTTTGGACAGGGGGAGTGAATCACCGCAAGCGGATCCTACAGCTTCGCAGGCTTGTTCAATTGTTGGCCATGTGAACGGACTGGACAGCTCGCGAAATAACAGGTTCTGACTGTGATGAATGAGTCAGCATCGCAGGGTAAGAGAAGCCTGCTTAATTTGGACACGGATAGCCCTTTGGAGCTTAATTGCGTGCTCAAAGCCAGTCGAGCCGCCTGCAAGTGCACTTAGCCACCTGCGGATTGCTCCCCCGTGACTGTACAGATCAAGTACGTGCTTAAACCATGTGGATTTCAAAGATGCACACAGTCGGCCCTGCACTAAACGAGCAGGCTTTGTGGAGACTTCCGAGCATGAGCCGGCAGGGAATGTCCCGGTTCCAGAGGTGTTTCCTGAGTCATAAGACTAGGACAGGTTTTTTGATCATCTGGACCTATACTGAAGACTCACATGGAACCAGCATGCACAGGCTTCATTACCACTCACTGTTATTCACTTCTGAGTTCAGGATAATCAGGACTTTTTTTGTAGAAAAAGCCCAGCAGGAACTCATTAGCATAATAGGCCACACCCAACAGCAGAAAATCATTAGCCTATTAGGCCACAGTCCTGACAGCACAGCTCATTAGCATATTAGGCCGCACCCCCATGTTACCAAAAGTGTGCTCATCCAGCCACAACCACCTTTTGCTTCTTATTCTGTTTACCTTGTTTGTGGTCAAACCAGGACTTTTTTTGTAGCAGGAACTCCTTTGCATGTTAGGCCACACACCCCTAATGTAGCCAATCCTAATGCGTTTCTGCTGTTGGGTGTGGCCTGTTATGCTAATGAGTTCCTGCTGGGCGTGGCCAATTTGGGAGCCAGCCGGAACTCCGTTCCTGTGCGTTCCTGCCCAAAAATAGCCCTGAGGATAATACATGCATGGGGTGGAAAGAGTTGACAAAGGGGACTAGAACGCGAGGGCATC